TTATAAACCTCTTCCGAAAATTCTGGGGCCGGAGCCTTTAACCCCCCTAGCTCCACGCTTTAATACAACTAGCGCTACCAACTGGCCGCCTCGATACGACTAACGTTCTCCCTCCGTTAGACAGTTTGTGCGACGAATTCCCAGCTCGTTCCATTGAAGTGACGCTTTTGTGATAGTAACTAAAGCACTGACACTCTTCACTGTCTTCCGCTGCTGCAGTCAAAGACCACGTAAGGACCTAACACCTTCCGTTAGTGCGCACATGAGAGGTGCAATACAGTGAGTTGGACAAGCCGCGCATGTTTTGCTAGCAATCTTTGGACGTCTTATATAAGCTGCGCATGTTTTCATGTATTTCCGCTTTTTCCTCCTATATCGAAGTACAACTCAAATGTTTTAAATTCAGCCCCCTAAGGGCGCGTGGCACTCACCTAAGGGCGCGTGAAAATTTTTGGCGGGAAAATCGCTAACTCGGTGTCTATAATATCCGTGCGGCTCTGCGGCTTTATTTCTTTTGATTTACATCTTTTTATCTTAATTAATTTATACACCTTACTAAATTATTTTGTTACCACAATCATCGTACTGGCGCGAGGTTCAATTTTGGTAACGGTAAGAAATGTATACGACTTAATGGACCGAAATCATTTCTTACCTATAACAAATATTTCTTTAGACCCCTTACCTATTTTGATATTCTTTTTCTCCTTTTCATTGTTTTCTTTTCCTGATATTTTGTTTTTATCCTTTATTTATTTTGCATGTGTAGAGGAAGTAAACGATTGTTTTACTTTTCCGTGTATTTCCGCTAACTGCAGTAAAGTAAAAGGCAGTACGGGCCTCAGGAGCCCTGTGAGGGAATGGAAGAGGGTAGTAACCAGGGCCAGGAACAACGCCCCATCGAAAACCCCCACATCGATTACCCGGGCAATTCTCGTATTTTTGAGGTAAATAGTAGTTAAAAATTATAAATACAAAAAATAACTGGACCCTTTCTATTTCATTTGTTTTCAGTTCATTTGATTTGATTTTGTTTTTATAATGTTTGTACGTGTTTCAGTGGTTGGTTGAAAGTCGATTGGCAGAAGGCCTTTGTGATCTTCTTGTTCCAGAGAAGCCAGCTGTGGTACGTTCTGGTGCACCACTTCGCAACTATGTTTTATGGTTTTTTTGCATCTATGCAATGCAGAAAACGCATATTGTCGACGGGTTGTGTGTGTGTGTACCGATTTTTCATCTCGAGACTTGAAGAAGCTACAGGGCTGAAACTTTGGGAACTTGATCTACATGCATGTGTCCCAATCCTCAAAATGGGCGCTCTTACCCAGGTGCTTTCCTCGAACGGACCAGTGAAATTTTTTGACGGGGTAAGTTGCTAACATGGGAATCTGAAAAGCTAGAAAGCTGAAATTTCAGGGGGATGTTCCCCTACTCATAAGTCTTAATGTATCTCAATCTGCGTGGTTCCCACGTACAAGTTCGTGAGATTTTTTTGCGGGCAAGTTGCTAACTCGGGAACCAGTAAAGCTAGAATGCTGAATTTTAAGGGGATGCTTCCTGACAGCCCTGGCGGCCAGTCTCAATTCTTTTAGCTAGAAGCATCCACCGGAAAAACCGGAGTCGTTAGCAACAGAAATCTGCGAGGAACTATGCAAAAAACGCATCTTCGCGCTGGCCATTTTTTGTCTTTGATGAATTTAGCAATGAATTGATAGTGTATGGTGTGTATTTTCAGGTGCATCATAATGTTTGTCATCTGTGGAGTGAGTTGGTTCGCGTGTTACGAGATGTGCAGTATACGTCGGAATGTAAACGTAGCGATCCGTTGATGGATAGTTTGCAATCGGAACGAAATGTGCGTAATTTGATGAGCCGTATGCTGCCGGATAACGTGGAACAGTATCGTGATTCTGTGATCGTAAATGTGGCTGGTATTTTGGTCACTTTGCTGGAAACGAATTTTATCCCAAACTGGTCAGCTATATTTTTCCTCGATTTTCATCATTTGGAAGCGTACATTCGGCCCAAGAGACTGTCAGTTTTTTTACGAACCCTAATCTACCTACAACGCAGACATTCCTATTTGAAATGATCACTTCTTAGTTGGGCCTCTCATAAGCCCTTTTTACCCTTCCTATTTCATTGAAATTTC